CTACTCTTTTACCTACGAATAGGGGGATTGACCGTCAAATTATAACGCCCTCACGGCTGAAAGGGGGGAGCATATTTGGTGGGACGGGGATTCGAACCCGCGACCCTCAGATTGCGAGTCGAGCGCCCTAACCACCTGGCCATACCGGGCTAGATAGTCTTAGCACTTAACTCCTATATATGGCTTATTTCATCTAGCTGTATCCTCGTTTCCATTTCTGTACGAGCTTACTTTTTTACCAAAGATTTGCTATAAAGGCTAATATCACTAAACTAGATAATTAATCAAACATTTGTTTTCAAATAAGTAAGATCATATCTGCAAGCTTCTCTAATTCAGACAACGGATAATTTTGCTTGTTCGCTGCTAGTATACAGCTTAAGTAATGTAAATGGCTACTTTTATTCGCCCTACCTAATCCAGCTAATTGCGCGTTCTGAAAGTTAGCCAATTTCGTTAACTGCCATACTATAGAGTTGATATCGCAATAAGCTCGGCCTGGTGATTCGGGCACTCGACTCACACTCTGCGGGTTGTGGGATCAAAACCCGGCGCCGAACGTGAGGTTTCTATAGTGTGACGGTCAATTATACCGTTAGTTGGTAATATAGTAGCCCTGTAGTTGGCGGTGGGTGCTGTCTATGTTTTTTCGCCCTAATATCGTGACTGAACCACCAGGAGATGAATACTTGATGATTTTTAAGTTGGGCCAGTTTTTGTTGGGAGTTGTATGGCGACTGACTCTGTACGTATCTTTATTTCTTCTTCTTTTCTTTCCATCGTTATAACAAGCTTGTTTTGTATGGAAACTTGTTTGTGACGACAAGTCATTTCTTTATTGTTCATGTGACTTTGATTGTTTTGATGTGTGTGTAATTTTCATAAGTATTCTTCACCTTTTATTGTGGGTTTTGTTTGCTTCGTATTCATATTTCCAGAGTTGCCAATTTAGAAAAGTGAGAGATTTTCTAGTGGCGAAACCGCAGATGCGAGCACTGCAAGCACGCAACGCTTCTAGAGTGCCCTCGGGGCATGTTCCTGGGCAGAATGTTGCAAAATACCATCTGGTGTCATTTCATGCGGCTGACACCATTTTAACTCTGTATCAAACCGTAATAAAATAAACATCTAATCTCTGAAATTTGTTGATTCATAAAATCACGTCGTTTTTTTGTATTAAAGGGATTTCTCTGCAAAGTTCACAAGTAAACAAACAATGACGTTTGTGTCTTGCTGTACGGGAGAAATTCGTATATCAACGGGAGAGACGGAGCTTAATTTTGAATGTGGGAGTTTGTCGCTGATTGCTGGAGAATTGGCAGATTAAGCCGGATTAAGAAGATTCTACTTCGGCTCCTTTAGTTTGTTCCTTTTCATTGTATGCTGTAAATCAAACATACACGCTTAACTAAATTCAAAAGGCATTGACACAGTGCTAATTACCATAGACGCGATACTAAAGTTTGAATCTTATCACTGAGAGAGAGTGTAAATACTGTGAGGAGTAATCTTGTTTACACGGAAGAACAAGGTACTAATACTTTAGCATGGAAAATACTAAATACATTTCCTCGATAGCACTCTCCGGATATCCTCCCTCGCTACGAAACCAATGTTTATTTTTACTTCAGAAATATATGTTAGAATTTTTTTATTACCAAGACACTTACGTGGACAACCTATAAGAACCACGTGTTATATTTAGTCTGATTTAACGTGAGAGAATATTCTTGATATTTATATCAGTTAGATAAAGTCAGAATAGTTGCACAACAGTAATTTGGCCTTCAATAGTCTCTGTCCTTCGTGAAGCTGTAAAGATAAAAAACAAGTCATGATCAGTATCGTAAAGATTGTTTGTACAAAATATAGCAACAACATAATGCTTGATAAGAAAACTGTACAAGATCCCCCCAAAAAAGCTTGTTATCAATACAGTAATTACTGAGAAAAATACTTCCACTGCCACCAGTTTTATTAGATTATATCTCTAAGATATAGTGTTAGTAAAGTTGACTTGTATTTGAATATTATTACGTCTGCAAGAAAATTTGATAGGTGAATATACATTTTAAAATGCCGTTTTATTGAAGATTGATTTTTTCTGCATCTGAGCTTCCTAGGTCGCCCCCACCTTGAAGTAAAACACGAATCAGGTCGCCCC